AAAATGCATTAAAAACAATACATGTAAAGGTTTCTTCACGGTATCATTAAACCCATCAAAATGCATATTTTCAGTTTTCTTTATCATACCGAAAGCCATGTTTTCCCCCATGAAGGTATTGCTGTGACGGTGCCATGGTCAAGTATCCATTTTCTTGCTCTAGCACAGGCATTGTTTTCGCCACCTTGGGGTTCTTCTCCAAGTATACGCATACAAATGTAACTCAGAGTGGTGCAGAACATCGTGCTATGGCCTTCTATGTGTAAACCCCACCCACCATCTTCGTTCTGTAATGTGAAAATGCTGTGAGTCGAGAATGTGAGCGGAAGAGTGCATGCGTCTGATGCGTGTAATTGAATTAACTGGAGATTTCACCTGGTGACAGTAAATGTAGCGGAGAATTTCTCTACGATGTTCTGCTGGAAACACAGTGTTAAGATGACCAGTAATATACAGACACATGACCTGCAATTTTTGGTTAAATCCAGCGTAAAAGATTAGCATTGAATCACTTGGACAACGTGAACGTGTCTATTATAAGAGGGTTCTTGCCGTTTCTTTCCCATAATTAATTGAAGCCACTAGGTTCGACCTAGCTTTCTTTTGTTCCGTTCCAAGAATTCAAATAGGGTTTTATACCGATCTTATAAAAATGAAATAGGCTCAAAACTCTCCGTTGATAGGTTATGCAATTTTTTCATTCATTCCCATTCAAAATCAGTTGCGTTCTTCCAAATTTTACTGATTAGCATGGACAAATTCCTCACTTTGCTCTTCATGTCAAGAAGGCGTGTTGAAAATTAAAAGTAATGCTTGCTATAAGGACTCACCAAAGGTGGAAGAAAGAACAATGGACCAGCATTTTCTGCAGGCCAATGGCCATCGCTGGCTTGCAGGGCTGCGAAGAAGTGAACAGCCCTTTTAAGCGTGGCTGTTGCTGTTTCATAGGTTATATCTTCTCCATCTTCAACTTTCACTTGGGGTATTGTCTGTTTGAAATTGTTCTCTCGTAGAAACTGCGTGCAAATTTCATTATCTCAAGTATTTAAGTTTTTTCTTCTGAAAGAATATCTTAATCATTGCATCAGACAATTAGGAAATGTTTAAATTTAAAGTAGCAGCCATAGAATTAATGGAGAGCAAAGGACAAGAATTAAATACTCTTGCACATATTAAGTAAATATAGTTAATATAAGGATAATTATATTCACGCCAGAAGTTTTATTTTTTATATTACATTTTAATTTTACTTAAATTTCTTAATTTTTGCTCATTATAGTACTTATGGCCCTGAAGATTTTTCATGTCATTCTTATACTATAACTTTCCATTAGTTTACATATTTTGTATTTGATAACAATTTCATATTCAAAAGTCTGTTGAAACGGTGTAAACAACTTATTTTTATCATATTTTTTAAAATAAATAAATAAAAAGTGTGAAAAAATATTTTTCTCTCGTCTCAAATCATTAAAAAAAAATATTTTAATATAAATTATCATCAAAGACGAGACGCATTAATTAATGAAATGTTGAGAATAAATAAAAAAAAGTTAAGAAAATAATTGTTATCATGAACAAAAATTGAGGAGCTTAACTGTAATTAAAATGTGGTGTACCAAATAAAAATTATGGTGATAATATAATAATTCTTAATATAATTGAAAATATAAAATTTAATTACAGTTTTTTTGAATATATCCTTACATTAATGATTAAATATAGTAGTTCATATTTGTTGATAACAAGATACATTGAACTCATGTTTGGTCGCCATTAATTTAATAATATATTTTCTCTCTTCTTTTTAACTATATATTTTT